TCACCCATGAACTCAAATATGCAATTAGTTTTGAAATCGGACCTCAATTTGAGGTCCAAATCCCCAAAAATTTGAAAATCCTAACTTCTACCCAAAAACACCTAATTTCCCATGAAAAACTCTAGATTTTGAAGTGAAATCATGTAAAATGATGTTATAGATTGAAGAAAATAAGTTAGAAATCGTTTACCTATGATTTGGGGAAGAACTCTTTTCAAGAAAATCGCCTATGTGATGTTTAGGTTTTGAAAAGTTGTAAAAAAGAAGAAGAATCCCGTCAAAAATCCCACTTACAGGTCTCAGATGTCGCAATTGCGACTAGGGGTTCGCAATTGCGAACACTTTGAGAATCTGTTGCCTTCGCAATTGCGGAGAAATTGTCACATTTGCGACAGCTGGGACTTACTGAGGTCTTCGCATTTGCGAAGAAATGCTCGCAAATGCGAGCAAGACTGGCCAGGGCTTATTTGGCAATTGCGATCAACCCCTCGCAATTACCATACTAGCAGACTTCGTAATTGCGATCCCTGATCTCTCAATTGCGAGATTAGAGGCCAATACCAGAACTGAAACCTGCAACAAATATTCCTAAGTCCAAATTCACTCCGTAGTCTATCCAAAACTCACCGAGCCCTCGCGGCTCCAAACTAAATATGCACGCAAGTCTAAAAATATCATACGGACTTGCTCGTGCGATCAAATCATCAAAATAACATTAACACCTACGAATTCAACCTCAAATTCATGAAACTCCTTAAGAACATTGAAATTTTCATTTTCTCAACTATATGTCCGATTTATACGAAACCAATTCCGATTCTTACCAAATTTCACAGATTCAACTTAATTATTATTTTAATCTTGTACTGGGCTCCAGAACTAAGATACGGGCCCAATACCATCAAGAAAATGCATCATTTCATTTCAAAAGGCCTTTATATTTTCGAGTAAACAATTTTCTTTAAAAAAATATTTCTCGGGCTTGGGACCTCGGAATTCGATTCCGGGCATACGCCCAAGTCCCATATTTTACTACGGACCCTACGAGATCGTCGGATCACGGGTCCGGGTCCGTTTACCAAGAATGTTGACCAAAGTCAACTTTAATCAATTTTAAAGGCCAATTTCATTATTTTTTCTAAAATTTCACATAAAAGCTTTCCAGAAACGCGTTCGGACTGCGCACGCAAATCGAGGTAAGACAAAAAGAGGTTTTTAAGGCCTCGGAACACAGTTTTGACTTCTAAAACAAGAGATGACCTTTAGGGTCATCACACATTTAGCCCCATAAGGAACTGCAGAAGTTTCAGCCTTTCCATGAACACAACAAATTCACATGATTTCTCACAGTCACATCCTGGAATTGGGGCTAGACTATCAAACTCGGCCCACAACAGTCTCAATTTTGAGAAATAAGAAGAGATTGAGCTAGTACCTTGATTAATTGTAGCAATGTTCTTATGAATCTGAAAAATTCTAAAGAGATCAGCCTTATCAAACCTCTCTTTAGGTCATTCCATACAACACTTGCATTTAAGGAGTAAACGATTCAACTACGCAATTCAGGCGATACACAGTTCATTTTCCATGATAGCACTATGTCATTGCATCGATCCCATAGATCGACCAGATTTGGACCATAATTTCCTCGCCTACAAGTACCGTCTATGGACCCTAACTTGTTTCGCCCTAAAATGCAATTCTCATTGCTCGACTCCATACCGAGTAGTTTTCTGGACCTTGAAGTTGCAGCGAGATCAAAATTGCTCCGGAATTATCATTTGAGTTTAAAAACAAGGGATGATTGTGACTTAACTTCTTAGGAGCTTCATTATCAACTTCCGCCATTGTTGAGCTTCAATTGTAGAGATAGAGCTTGAGCAATTGAGCTTGACCTCAACAACCACACAGATTTGCGATCTAGATTTGAGCAGTAGGCTCTGATACCATGTCAATTTTATCAATGAGATAGAGAGATTGATGAGAGGAAACGAACAGAAGAAGACATGGAGAGAATTAACTTATTCTCATTTCTTCAGCATGCTACAGTAGTGAGTAATAGGTCCTATATATACACATCATCTAACTAACTTTACTAACTAACTATGATTACATAATAATCACTTTATTAACTAACTGGCCAACTAATACATATCAGCTTATACTCTCCACAAATACGAAGTTTTACTTCAAAAGTACATTGGTGTTAGATATAATTGTTATAACTTCATTACCTTTTATATATATTATTATTTGGCCTATTTAATTGATTAAATTTGTTAGTTATATTAAAATATAGCAATAACAATAGTTTTATTATTTCTGGGTACAGTGACATAATAAAAACAATAATTTTTTATTTCAAAATAACACATTTTCTTGTTGTTTATGAAAATGTTAGAGTAACTTAATTAAATAGCCGTCTGCTTAAAAAAGAAGGCAGTAAATTTATAAATTATATATATTTAGTGTATAATATATGTATATTAAAAAGAAAAAGTTATATATTTCCATATCTATGGAAGAATGTGCATAAGAATCCTTAGTGAAATTTAAGAACTCATTGGTATTAATTGATTCTATTTTATAACTTTGCTACTGATGAAGTCGCCTTCTTCAACTACAAGACCACGGAAAGACCTACGTTTCAACTTTCAATCTCAGGACCTTGCTTTGCCTCCGAAGAGAATTTTTGGCCGAACTGTCAAAAGCCCATAAAACTTTTTACTTGGGCTCAGCCCATAGTAATTTATCCATGAAGAATTAACCTAAATAGCCGACTAAGGTATAATGTATGCACAATTTATGTATTATATGTATATAATTATGTATAATGAATGTATAATATTTGTATATGGCTTGAAAAAGTTAACCATACTATATGACCAGCTATTTGTGTAAAGATTCCATCTCCTCCAGCTTGTTGCTCGAGTGACGGCAGGCGTCAGACGTCAGAGGGCAGCAGTGAGTCCATTTCTTGCTGTTAGAAATGTACTGTGATTTTCTTCTCTCCATTTCTATCTTTTTTTCTGTTTTATTTAGAAAGATCATAACTTGTTTAACAAAATGCCGAAGCTGTGAATATTAGCCAAAAAGTTGGAGCTACTGGAAATTGAGTGTAATTAAGAATTGTGCTGTATGATCGTCAAGGAATTGCATGCCTAAATATATTAGGTGTTGCTTTTAGTTTTTATTTGCTAATAATTATCATGTGAACCTAAGAAGTGATTAGGAGAATTGACATCAATCAATCAAATATGTCTTAATTTCAAATTAGTTGAGATCGACTATTTGAATCCTTTGTGTCCATTCCACTCAATTCGGGTTCTCATTTGACACTGCACCAAGGTGCCAATGCACCCCATGCATGCCCAGAAGTAGCAGAATCCGGATTTTATATAAAGGGGATTTAAAAAATGTCACGCCTTGGATTTGAACCTTTGATCAAAAGCAATTAGGCATCCAGGATTTTTCTCATTTTTCCATCTTCATAATCATTCTTTCCAAATACCCAAAAATGTCTGGATTTGAACCTTTGATCCTGGATTTTTTATTGTTGCTTTTAATTTTCAGAATCACAGAATTTGTTTCGCAATTTCTTCTGAGCTCTCGCAAGATTCGAAAGAGCTTCAGCAGCCTTTTGTTTCTTTTTATTCTCTATGCTCAATCAAGGATGTTATATATCCAGTACTGATCTTTGTCCTCCATTCACTTGACAATTTCCTCGACTTCTGCTGAACAACGTGTCTTGCATGAGAAATGCTCAACAAATAAAGGCGCAATGTAAATGTTTCCCTCCATGATGGTGGTGCATTTGTACTAACGGGCACTAATGGCTTTGGTAAATCGATATTCTTGCGCATGTTAGCTGGTTTCTCGATAAAGCACGAATGCTTTCTATGGTTCAAAGGAAAAGGGTACAGCTTGCCAGATTGTTGGCGAGTCATCGGCCAATTTGGTTGCTTGATGAACCTTCAGTAGCATTGGATGACGAAGGTGTGAAACTGCTCGAGTATATTATTATTGCAGAAAAAAAAGGTGGTATCGTCATTGTTGCCACCCATCTGCCTATTCAGATTGAGGATGCAATGTTTTTAAGTATGCCACCAAAGTTCTCAAGAAGGATGACTTTAGTTGACATGCTTGATCGAGGTTGCCTGGACTGATCTTTAAGAAGATATATTCCAAGTTTAAAGAGAACTCTGCAATGGAGCATACAATTACAGAAACGATAGAAGCGTCTGATGTGCCAAATTTTCTTGTAGTGGCATCAGAGTTTGCAATTTATTTCATTCTTGATGTTTGCAAGAACTGCTCCAAGATTTATGTACTTAGAATATCTGGGACTATCTTCAATATTTTATTTTTTTCTTAGTTTCTCCACTAGAAAATATAGAGAAGTTCTAGTACTTTTCATTTCTGTTTTTATTTGTGAATAATATTGGTCTCAAATGAGCTTAAATTGAGCGACATGAACATGATCAATCAAGATTTATATAGTCTACCTCAACTTACTTGATATTGAGGCATAGTAGTAGTTTTTGTTACTTGTTAGTTCCTCTCAGTTGCATATCAATTTGCTAGTTGAAATGTGTGGAGAGATAGAGGATGCTAAAATGACAAAACTCACACTCATTATTGTAAACAAACACTTAATATGTTTAACGGGATAAGCATATATTTTAAATCATAAATAGTATATGAATTTGTAATATATCAAAATCAAATATTTAACATGTAATAATTCTTGCATTATTAATCTCAGTATTGCACTAATTTCCAAATTATAATTCTTACATTACTAATTGTTGCATAACTTTGTCTCTAAACCTGTTGAGAAAAGTGTTACATAACTCATTAGAGGGTAGATTAGTCATTTCACTATACTCAACCAGTTAGAATTAAGTAGGTTGTTAAGTTAGTTAGACAAGTGTTAATATATATATATACACACGTGTATGTGCACCGGACATAAGGCAGAATAATATTTCTTCATTTTCATCATCTTCTTCTCACTTCCATCTTCTTCATCTTCTTCTTCTTTTTCTTCTTAATACAATTTCATGGTATAAGAGCAAAGCTAGTAATCTCTAGCCTGTGGTTCGATCTTAATCCTACGGAATCGACTTCCCAATTACTGTTAGTGTTCTTGAAATCTTGGTCGAGAATGGCGATCAACGATCTGCTGAATCATAAAACTGAGCATCATACTTAAGCACCGTCTCCAACTCCTACATTGGGGGTGAATCAAGTGCCTGGAATAGACTACAATCATCCGTTATTTCTGTCTCCTTCAGATGTCAGTGGAATTCAAATCATATCATTTCAATTGACAGGTATCGAAAACTACTCTATCTGGTTTAGATCTATGTGAGTAGCTCTAATGGGAAGGAACAAATTGGGGTTGGTAGATGGCTCTTGCACTAAAGAAATTTTTTATGAAATAATGTGGAATTATTGGAAAAGAGTTAATGCAATAGTCCTTTCTTGGATCATGAATTATGTAGCTAGTGGATTATTAGGTGGAATTATGAATGCTTCAAGTGCTCAAGCTGTGTGGAATGATTTGTATAAAAGATTTAACAAAGTAGACGGTGCAAGATCTTTTAATCTGCATAAAGAAATTGCAACCTTAAGTCAAGGAACTGCCTCCGTGTCTGTTTATTTTTCAAAATTGAAGGATTTGTGGGAAGAATTTGAAGCATTGGTTCCATCCCTGATACCATGTTAAAATGAGCATTACGGCAGCCATTGATGTAATGGAAGCTCGTCTGAGAAGAAGAAGAAAATGACAGCTAAGAGAGAAAGAGAGAAAGAGAGAAGTAATCGAACAGAGAGGTATTTTGGAATTTTTTGTTTTCTATCATATGTGTAAAATGTACAACGCATATACAAATATATAATCTCAGTCTAAACAATCTTCTAACCGACTTTCCTCCTACTGTGCTAACAACCTAACTAATCCACTAACAGACATTTCTTCTAGAAGAGTACTATCATATTATATGATGTACACCTATGTATTTCAACACCCCCCCTCAAGTTGTGAATGAAAAATATTTTTTATTCCCAACTTGGACAAAAGAACCATGTGTTGCTGATGCCCCAATACTTTTGTCAGAAGATCTGCAGGTTGACATTGAGTAGCAATATAAGCTCCTCTAATAATACCTTGTTGAATCTTTTCTCTAATGAAATGGCAATCTATCTCTATGTGTTTTGTTCTCTCATGATACATGGGGTTGGCTGCAATTTGTAGTGCAGCCTTGTTATCACATTGTAACTTGTTAGGCAATTCACTTGCAATTCTTCCAGCAGTCCCTTCAACCAAACTAGCTCGGCTATTGTATTTGCCATGCTCATGTACTCTGCTTCTGTAGAACTTCTTGAGATGATGTTCTGCTTCTTAGTCTTCCAACAAATGAGTGAACTTCCCAGCCTAATACAATACCATGTCACTGATTTTCTTGACATAGGACATGAGGCCCAATCGGAATCACAAAATGCATTACTTTCTCTTCACTTTTACTGGACATAAGCAATCCCAAACCTAGCTGCTTCTTAATATATTCAACAACATGCAATGCTGCTTCATAGTGTAATTTTTTTGGTGCGTGCATGAACTGACTAAGGCATTGGACAGCATATGAAATATCTGGCCTGGTAATTGTGAGGTATAATAGCTTCCCTATTAGTCTCTGATAACTCCCCATGTCTACTAATGCCCCATCATGACTGCCTGTATTGGTGCATCTATCAAACTATATACTTGTGAGCTTTAGATTTTGTTCCATAGGTGTGTCTTTTGGTTTTGAGCCTGCTAAACCTGTTTCTAAATCATCTCAAGTTCATACTCCTTTGTGACATAATTATCCCTTCCTTTGACCTAGCAAATTCAATACCTAGGAAGTATCTTATCTCTCCTAGGTCCTTCAGTTTGAAGTTCTGTTGAAGTGATGCTTTAGCTTAGTTGATTTCTGTTAAATCATTCCTGCTATCAAGATGTCATCCACATACACAAGCACTAGAGCAAATTTGTTTTTGACCAGTCTAGTGAACAGAGAATAGTCATGTTTGCTTTGTTGAAAACCAGTAGCTGTGAGGGCTTGTGTGAGCTTAAGGTTCCATTGTCTAGAAGCTTGTTTCAACCCATAAAGGAATTTGAGTAGTCTGCACACTTTGGACTCCCCCTATCTACCAAATCCCTGGGGTAATGTCATGTATACCTCCTCATCAAGATCTCCATTTAGGAAGGCATTGTGCACATCCATTTGGAAAGTGGGCCAATGCTTCAGTACAACAGTAACTACAACAGTTCTAACAGTGGTAAGCTTTGCTACAAGTGAAAAAGTATCATGAAAGTCTAGACCTTCTTGCCGTGTGTACCCCTTAGCAACTAGTCTTGCTTTAACTCTTTCCACTGACCCATCAATATTATATTTAATCTTATACACCCACTTGCAACCAATTGGAACCTTCCAAGCAAGTAGATCTACTACTTCCCAAGTATGGTTGTCCTCTAGAGCCTTAATCTCAAGCTTCATTGCTTGAACCCATCTATCATCCTTGGTTGCTTGAGAGAAAGTGGAAGGTTCGAAATTAGTAGAAAAAGAGGCAAGAAAGGATTAATAGTGTGGAGGCAGATGAGCATAGGAAACATAGTGATGAATATGGTAGTTGATGCAATTGGAGGTGGATGTAATGGTGGATGGACATAGTCTGTTAACCAAATAGAAGGTTTGGTGGTTCTGCATGACCTTCTAAGAGGAACTGGACTAGATAGAAGGGGAGGTGAAGAAGTGGAAATAAAGTTAGATAGATCAGCAGGTACTGTTGGAGATTGTGATGCAGAAGAATCAGTAAATTGATCATAGGAAGAGGATATAAGAGGTTGAGGTGAGTGGTCAGGTTGTTGAGGTGAATGATCAGGTGAAGTTGTGTTAGGGAAGTCTATGAATGGTGAGAAGTTCAAATCTGGAGCTGTAGGAAATTGGCTTTTAGGAAATTTGAAAGGAAAGACATGTTCTTGAAAGACAACATCTCTACTGAGGAAAAACTCGCTAGACTCAATATCATATAGTATGTAGCCCTTTTGTATGGATGAGTACCCCATGAAGATTGCAGGAATGGATTTAGGAGTAAATTTGTCACTAAAATTGGGTTTTGTGGCATAACAAAGGCATTCAAGGGTCCTCATATGGTCAAGCTTGGGTGGCTGACCATGAAACAATTCATAAGGTGATTGACCTTTTAAGGTTGGACTAGGTAACCTATTTATGATGTATGTTGCTGTTAGGATGCAATCCCCCCAGAATCGTGGTATATGGGCTTGAAATCTTAATGCTCTTCCTATCTCAAGAATGTGCCTGTGTTTTCTTTCCATCACCCCATTTTGTTGTGGGGTGTGAACACAACTACTTTGGTGAACTATACCTTTGGATCTAAACAGGTTAAAACATAGAGAATTGAAAATTCATGTCCATTATCAGATCTGAAAACTTTAACAGAAGCAGAAAATTGATTGTGTATTAACTACAGAAAATCAAACAAGACAACATAGACATCACTTTTCTATCTCAATAGGTTTGTCCATGTCATACTGGAGTAATCATCGACAAGCTTAAGGAAGTACTTAAAACCATTGTAAGTGGACACTCTATATGGACCCGAAACAACCATATGAACAAGACTAAATGGAGAATTTGATCTAGTTACACTACTAGGAAATGGTAGTCTAGCTTGTTTAGCTAATGGACATATAGAACAAGTATTCGTTGTTGATTTAGACACATGATCTTTTATTGAGGGTATTTTCTGTAGAACAGCAACTGGAGCATGACTAAGCCTTTGATGCCACAAACCATCAGAATGACTTTGAACTGAAGAAGACATACATTTTGAAGAGAGCAACAACAACATGTGTGAATGGATTGAGGATGTATAGGCCACTCTTGAATCTACCAATCCCCTTCACCATGCCATTGAAGAGGTCCTGAAACAGGCAGAAACATGTAGAGGTTAACCGAGTAATGTAATTCTCTGTTGTATTTAGAAACAGAGAGGAGGTTATACTTAAAGTCTGGTACATATAATACATTCTTTATAGTTTGTGTAGGAAGTATAGGGCAAGATCCAGTGTGAGTGATCTTAGTGTTATTTCCATTTGGTAATTGGACACAGTTGGGTTGGTTGTTTGGCACAGTATTAGGATTTAATAATAGGTTCAAGGATGAAGCCATGTGATTTGAAGCTCCAGAGTCAATAATCCAGTAATTTGAGTAGTATTAGATATACCTGCCATGTTTGCCGTTTCAGCTGGCTCATTTTCCTTGCTCACCAATTTCAGAATAGGTTGGTACTGCTCTGAAGTACACACCGCCACAATTGGTGATGCTATATTTTTTAGGTTTTCAAAATGCATTTCCCTTTTATCAGTCATGCTCACATTATGAGCTGTATGCATTTGATTCTGGTTCTCAAATCCACCTCTTCTTCTGTTGTCAAACCTAGAATTTGATGGATATCCAATTAGCTTATAGCAATTTTCTTTCTTATGGACCTTCATGTGGCAATAGTCACAGTAAAGATTAGTGTTACGCTTAGGCCTTATGTTGGTTGCATTAGCTGCAGCTAAGGCACTGCTGGCACCTTCCATAGGTCCACTTCCTAGAATACCACTCTGTGATATTGAAGTCCCACTCATTCTCTGACTCTCTTCCTGTATGATCATCGAATTTGCTTGATCAAGTGTGGGAGTGGGGTTCATTATTAAAATTTGGCTCCTCTGAGGTGCATAAGTGTCATTTAATCCCATAAAAAATTTCATCAACTTATGTTGGCGTAGGAATTCAACAAGCAACCTAGATCTCACACAATCACAACCACGATACAGTATAATTGACTCAAATTTAGCCCACAAAATATTCAATTTCGAGTAATATATCGACCACTGGAGATTCCCTATGTTAGAATACTTATTTCGGTGTTCATATGATAGATTTTTGTTGCATTTACCTTATCAAAACGTTCCTTGAAAGCTTCCCATACCTTTTGTGAATTGGATGAATACACGATTCCTTTCCTCAGCTCCTGCTACAGAGCTCATTATCCACGATTGGACAATGGCATTGCAACTTTCCCACTGATGCAATAAAAAGCTATCAGTCACATAAGTCTCTCTAGCATACGATCCATCTGTAAACCCGATTTTGTTCTTTACAAGCAGTGACATCTTTATCGATCTACTCCACTATGAGTATTTTTTCTGTTCCAATTAGCAATTGTGGTACTAGAGCCACACCTGGTGTATCTGACGGATGCACATAGAGGGGATCATTACAATCAAGTTGCTGAGAGCTTGCATGCGAGGTTCCTGTTATGCTTTGAGGTGTATCAATCGCCATTTTTTAGGTTTTAGTGAGAATTTGGTACACAATTTAGCAGTGGAAGAGATTCGAATGAGAAATTGGGGAAATTGAATCGGAGAAGAGAAAAAAAGTTGAATAGGCCATCACCACGCTACTTATTCTTCAGAACGGTTGGCTGAGATTTACATTCGAGAGATTGTGCGCCTTCACGGTGTGCCAATTTCCACCATTTCAGATAGAGGCATGCATTTTACATCGTAGTTTTGGAGAGCCCTGCAGGGGGAGTTAGGCACTCAGGTAGAGTTGAGCACATCATTTCACCCTCAGACGGACGGGCGGTCCGAGCGCACTATTCAAATATTGGAGGACATGCTACGCGCTTGTGCAATTGACTTCGGGGGTTCATGGGACCAGTTTCTACCGCTCGCGGAGTTTGCTTACAACAACTGCTATCAGTCGAGCATTAAGATGGCTCCATATGAGGCATTGCATGGGAGACGGTGCAGATCTCCGGTGGGTTGGTTTGAGCAGGGTGAGGCTAGGCTATTGGGTACTGACTTGGTTCAGGATGCTTTGGACAAGGTTAAATTGATCCAGGAGCAGAGTTGAATTACTGGAATGATCATTAATCCATGAATAATCCCTTCTTATTAAACTTCTTTCAGCCTCTACAACCTCTTTTACACAGTAGCTCCCCCCGCGCAACTCTGGCCACAACACTAAGAAAAGAAACAGTATATGCAGCTAATAGGATGACTGTTAGAAAATCAATAAAAGTAACATGTAATTGGAAACCATAACTAACCCTAAAGGATATTTGTCCCGTAATAAATGAAAAATCATCATACGGAGAAGATAAACTCAGTTAGACCATTGAGAAAAAGCTGATCCATATATGTGACCACATAGGTCATACATTTTATAACTGTTGGATGCTGATGGAGTACCTTAGATCGTTAAGATGAGTGGAAGAGGAGTAACAACCAATGTGTGTAAAGCAATCATCAATTAAGAAGGAGGAAGAGGCTTCTTGTGAATGAAGAAAGAAAAGAGAAAACAAAATGATGCGCAATGGGAATAGCAGTGGCTAGAGTTTCTGGATGTTTATTTGGAACCTTAAGGAGGTGTTGGATTTCCCAAACAAAATGGGAAGAAGAAAAAGAAATAAAGTAGGGAAAGAAAGTTAAGTCCAGTAATTTTTTGACTTCGGATAACATCTAAAATTAGGCAAACATCACCCTTTGATATGATTTGGTTTTCATATTTATCGGAATATTTTTTTTTACAATATGACCACACCAAAGATTAGAAATTATGAAAAATCCCAATGCATATCACTTGTAGGCTGTAGCTGTTAGCGAGCCATGCTGTAGACACATTTAGCAAAATTACTTGGTAGAAAATGCTTTGCGACCATTTTCTTCTGTAAAGTATGGAGCTTCTTTCAGCTTGATGCCATGTTCGTCTTGTATCATTTCTAGTACTTATGGTGATGCAAGATAAAGAAAAACCAAATTATATTATTCTAATGTTGATGGGAAATAAAGAGGATGTCAGTTATGATATAATCTGTTTTCCTATCTCTTTAATTTATTTTGCAAGTATAGGAAGTCCCCTGCATGATTCCCGAGTATTGAGACTACTTTTACCTTAATAGTAAACTGATAAAGCAAGTGATATTTTATCCTTCCACAGATGCCTATAAATGTGAAAGCATCGGATGCATGTAAATTGGAACACCCTACAAAATTGAGCGAATGACCGAATTCCCTTCTCAAAGGGGTGAAAATCGATCAATGTTTTGAGTGTATTGGTTTTATACTTACACATATTTTTTCCCTGTTTTCTTATGCATTTTACATAACGGCCACCCCAATATTTGAAATTATGATAAAGGACAATGCAGTACACTTGTGTTCTATAGCTATTAGTGACCCATGCTTTGGACACATTGAGCAGCATTACTTGTGGAATATGCTTTGCAAACCATTATCTTCTGCAAAGCGTGGAGCTTCTTTTCCTGCATCTATGCTTGTATCTATTATTTGTCTTGTATTTTTCTCGTACTTGTGGTGATGAGAGATACAGAAGATGTAATTGTTATTCTAGTGCTTATGGGAGATAAAGAAAAAGAGGATCCGAGTTCTTATAAAATCTTTTTTCCAATCTCCCTAATTCATTTTTGAATTGTTGGAAAATCCTGCATTGTCCATACTCCAGAGTATTGGAACTCCTTCTACCTTAATATTAAAGTTATGCAAGTTATGTTCCCCTTCTTCCATAGATGGCTATAGACGTCAAAGCATTGTATGCATGTCGAAATGAAAACACCCTGCGCGGGAGCAAATGATAAAACCTCCTTCTCAGAGGGGTGATAATAAATTTATAGTCTAGATTTCATACTTAGATAAATTTGGAGATGCAAGAGGCCTAATGCATCTCCAAATTTCCAGGAGCAGAATGCAAGTTCCTCTTGGGGCACCCAAAACTTTGTCTCTGCACTTGGTGGTAGAGCACCATCTTCCAGTTATCATCATGGAGTGAGTCATTCAGGTTAGTTTCATTCACATGCTCGAATATAACCTATACAGCTTTGTTTTTCATCTGCAAAAATTATGTTAAGATGGTTGTTCATGTCTCTTAGGGTTGAAAGATGAAAGGTTGGAAGTTGGGAAATCATTTCCTAGAGATGGTAATTTTTCTGTTGGCAGGCAGAATTGGGACATGAAATTTAAAGATGCTTTCTGTGCTGCTCAAGCAGTGGCTGAGTCTGCAGAACGTGCAAGCTTAGCTGCCAGAGCTGTTGTAGAACTTTCAAGGCAATAGTATGTTGATGATAGTGGTTCATGCCACTTAGGTTTCAAGGATGAACGGTTGGAACCTGGGCAATCATTTCTTGGAGATGGTAATGGTAATTTTTCTGTTGGCAGGAGAATTGGAACATGAAATTTAAGGATGCTACCTGTGCTGCTCAAGCAGCGGTTGAGTTTGCAGAACATGCGATCCTAGCTGCTAGAGCTGTTGTACAACTTTCAAGGGTTACAAGGCAATTTTCCTCAGACTCTCAAGGTCATATTCCTAGTGAAGCTGTTAATAAGAACTCTCATGATTCTGCCTCCGTTGCTCTTGATGATTCTAGCTCAGAAGATAATGGTATTAAGTTTGACTCAAATCTTGTATATGATGACCAATTGGCCAGATTGTATTTTCCATCACCAGTGTTACTATTAATTATGCCGTTTTATTGTGTTATCTAATGTATTTTTGTTCCATGTTTTCCTTTTGTGTATTTTTCAGGGAGGGAAAAGTAGAGCTGAATAACCTGGTATATTTGGTTCTAATTCTTAGGAAGAATGTCTCCATCGGACACAAGCCATGAATCAATTGTTGGTGAAGAAGATATAATTAGCAACTTGCCAAGGTATGTAATAAATTGCATTCTAGGAAAAATTCCTATCGTGAAGCTATAAGGCGAGTATTCTGTCAAAGAAGTGGAGATTTTACTACTTAACCATTCCACAATTAGTATTTGATTACCAGTTTTGTGGAAAAGTTTATGACTATGTCACCAAGAAAAATCGTTGTAGATCTTCTAAGTCTGAGCTCAGGTACCGATTCAATGAAATTGTCACCAAGTCTCTTATGCTTCATCCTGTTGGAATAGATAAATTAAAAGTGTGCATTCCTAATTTAAAGTCAACAAAGGTTCCTGATGGTGGTTTAGCTGTGGTTCATGGTGTGAACATATGGATACTATATTTATCTCAGAGAAACATCAATAATTAACCTTAATATGCGATAATGATTTAAATTATCGTCATAAGTTACCTCCTTATTTCTTTCTTGTCTAGACTTGGCATTTTTGAAGCTCTAGAATTTTGTTCTTTCGCCACCGCTAGAGTTTAAAGGGTTTCTAAATCTCTACCAATTAATACTTACTCGGGTTGACTTTGTCAATAACTGTTTTGAAAGTTTTCTTTCTAGCTACCCTCTTCTTCAAAGGCTAAGCTTGCGCCATTGCTCTGGTATTCATCATTTTAATATCAACCGTATTAATCTTAAGAGGTTGTCCGTCGATGCTGATGATAAGATAAAATCAATCTCCTTAGAGAAGGCTCCTAACTTGTCTGAAGTTTGTATTTATCTGGAGAGAGTTGTAAGAGGCAATCATGTCTCCGATTTGGCTATGTTTATGGGTAGCTTGCCTAATTTCAAACTACTTTGTCTTGATGGAAAGTGTCTGCAGGTTAGTACTTGTGCATGCCTTTTTATTTGTATTCCTATAATCATGTTTGTATTTTGCCTTCAGAACTGACATAAAGTGTTCCTATAATTCTTGAAACTGGTTATTTATTTATTTATTTATTTCACACATCATTCTTTCATCTCCTAGCTGAACCTCCAATTTCGACTAAGATATCGAGATCATCATACTCTCTAAAGATTCTTCAATTCAAAAGTTTAAACTTTATGGACTTAGATCAAGCATTTGTTGTTGTCTGCTTACTGAGAAGTGCTCCGAATTTGCAACAACTTTATATTGAGACAAATTGTAACATTCTATCTAATTCCTTCTTCTTTTTTTTTTTTGAAAGGAATAAGCACACATAAGATTGAGTTGGTGCACATAACTCACTCTCGGGAATATTTTGATAATTTTTCCATGTGTGGTTTCCTCCACAATATGCATAATGAGGATCAAAAGTAGAATTACCAACACCTAAACTCTTGTAATTCCAAGATGCCTTATTTCTTAAATAAAAAATATAAATAAAATAAAAATAAAATAAAATAAAAGTTCAAACTTGAAACTAGCAATATTTACAGCTACAACTACACCGTTAGTTCCCCGGCAACGGTGCCAAAAATTAATCACGCCCAATTCTAGTCCTAAAAAGGATAAGCGATCTCTCAAATATAATTCGGTCTAGAAATTCGGCGTCATATCCCATAGAGAACTAAGGTTTCGCTATAGCTATTCAATACCACCAAGAGGGCAAGCTCGAATAACTTCTAAGTTACTTAAACTAGTTAACTATTGATTATCAAAAAGCAATAGAAACTTATCAACTAAAGAAACTAAGGGTTGGAGACAAAATTAAGGAGGTCTAGATTTATGATTTTCCCAATTGTCGAAATCCTTCCTGCTATGTCTTCTATAATTTCGCCTAATTATTCTCTACTTATCATGAGCACTCGACTTATCGTAATTCTCTCTCGAGCAACTACAATAATGTACTAGTCATATTCTCTCGAATTACGCTAGCTCGCACTTTTTAGCCGCTCACTATGATCATGTCAAAGCTTCGTTATCTCTAATAAGCTGAAATAAGCACGTAGTTGAACAAGTAGATAAATTCAAAAGCTAAATTATATTAAAACATAACAGGAATTCATCCTCCAAGAGGTTCCATCAAAATTCTAGATAATAAATTAGCTACTCATAATAGTATGTAAAACTACAATACTAAAAGTCAAAACCAACAACGAGAAATAGGAAGAAGAAAGGAAAACTTGTGGTTAAATCTTCTTCCATGCTCCTAGCATATTCTTTCCTTCTTGGGTGTGTCTTACCCTAATGCAGTGTCTCCCCCTTTAAAATGACGGTTTTTTGATATATTTATATCAATTAGGGTTGATGTGGGGTGTCCTTGATCTCTCCTAATTCGAAAAGGACACGCTGAGTTGCGTGCTAGAGTTGGTGCAACGCGCGACTTCTAGCACGATCCTAGCTATTTTTCTTCTTCTTTGCTCTTTCGCGTGCCAGGTACAACACCAACCTCCATACTTTGCTATTTTTTTACTCATCTCCTAGGACATTTCGCGCCTACCTTCATGCAATGCACCAATTGTGGCACGCTCCCAGGTCTTGCATCTCTACTCTTTTTGCATCAAATCTTCCAATTCTTGCAAACTTCCATCCAAATTCATTCCTACACACAATAAACATGTAATGGACATATTATATGTTTATAAACATGTAATCTTTCGTAACTCATAAAAGAAATAATATGCAAACGTACTCAAAAATATGCATTTTTCATTATTTATTAGTAGATAAACATAGCATTTAGATTGCAAGTTACTTAATACATCGACAGCAACGTAAAATTCGATCTTTACGACATAATAAACAAAAAGCTTCTGAACTATACTATTAACTTCAGTCCTAATAGAGGGAGTAGTTATTAAGTTTAGAGAGAGGAATAATCAAAGAGTACTACTAATACTTGACTAGTCAATACCTCCTTGGATTTTTTTTTTTTGAATTTATATAATCGATTAGTTTCACTTGTACGCACTACATCCATAGATTCTTTATTGATAGTAGGTGTTTTCATTCTTGTTGAATCATCCAAATTTTTATGATTTTATCTCCTTCAATGTCAAAGAGTCATAACATTATTTGACTAGTCAATATATACATCCTTAGATTTATTTATTTATTTGATCATGGTGTTCGGGCGGAATAACTTGTGTGCAACTCAATTAGTTTCACTTGAACGCGCCACACTTAGATTCTTTATTGATAGTAGGTGTTTTCGTTCTTTTGAAGCATCCAAATTTTAAGGATTTTATCTCCTTCAATGTCATATATGTTCACACGAGAATGGCAGCAAGTTGGAGGGCAGAAGCATTATATTTCCCGACCTAAAACCCAACTTATATTCGACTTGAAACCTATTCAGCAAAAAATTTAAAGAGCAAAATCAGTTATAAAAATTACAAGTATTAAAAACAAAAGCTATGTGGGAGTATTTTTAAAATTTTAAAATAGCTATATATGTGTCTTTTCATTTTACAAGTGTCCTATATATTTCTAAGTGATTTTTTGCAAGAAGCCTTAAGTAAGCCAAGTGTTGAAGGGATTTGACAAACGGCTATGCAAATCTATCATGTGTCTTCATGCATGGAAGACTAGGTACCCTTGTTAATATTGAAGCCGAGTGGACTAATATATTTATACAAGTGTTAAAAGACGCTCCACAATTGTTATACATGTAACCTCCCTAATTGTCTATAAATAGGTTGTTGATTAGCCATCATACTAACTCAATTCTCAACCAAGAATTCATCTTGCTAATTATTACTTTCTTCCTACAATCATTACTTATTATTATTATTATTAATTCTCCTCTCCAATTTTCTGAACCCGCTGGATTTATTATTTAATTTTGCTGATTTCTGTATCCTCTAAATAAATAGAGGTAGACTTGTTTAACCGGGGAAATATTTCACATAGCTGAAATAGTTTTTTAGGACAGTGCCCAGCACGACTCAAGCCAATTCGTGTATCTGCTCGCAAATAATATTATTGAAGTATTATTGTTATTTCCTCGTGTCATTTCCCTACAAACTATAAAAGAAACTCCGTCCCAAATTAGTTTACATATTTCGCTTCTTGGGAATCAAATTATGTGAACTTTGACCAATATTTTAAAATATTTTTTTCTATCATACTTTTTATATGAGAAAAATTATAATTTGTAGTACTTTTCAAATAATTTTGAATATTTAAGTTTTAATTTAAAAATATAAATTAATGTAGTCTGTTTTAACTTCAAAGATTATTCAAATTGATCGTCGAAAAATGAAACATAATAACTATTTGGAACGAGAGCGAAAGATAATAACTATTTGGAACGAATGGGCTCTGCCTTCTCTCTAAAAATTTCATCACCAAACTACTAGCAATGACCAACCTGCAGAACATAGCCACTAACTTCAAAATTCCTCCCAAACCATCAGATTTAGAGCATGAGAAAGTATCAAATCATAGCCTGGAAGACAAAAAGTCTTTTAGGGATAAGCTATTATCCTATGATCCAATGAACTTTACAAGCACTTTAAACCTTCCAAAAATCCAAATGACAGGAAGCTCCCCAGAAGAAGTAATGCCTGATCATCTAATGGAGCACACTGCATTGGAAGTAAAGGCAATTCCCCCAACCGAGGAAGATAAGCAAAGAATTTATGAACCATGGAGGTTCTCAATTATAGTGAAACTCTTTGGAAAACGTATAATGCATCACTATCTAAAGAAGAAAATTCAAGAATTGTGGCGCCCCACTGAGGCTTTCCCATTAATCGACCTAGGAGAAGATTACTACATTATCAAATTTAGTAAAAAGGAGAACATGGAGAAGGCCCTCCATCAAGGACCATGGTTCATAAATGGTCACTATATATCAATTACAAAGTGGAAGCCAATTTTTGTAGCCACCAAGAAAAAATTAACGGTCTCAGTAGTATAGATTAAACTACCACAACTGGTGACTGAATTCTATGATGGAGAAATCTTTAAAAAACTGGCAATTCCATAGGACGCCTACTAAAAATAGATGCCTACACTTCAACCACAGTACGAGGTCGCTATGCCAGGCTATGTATTGAATTACCTTTGGAATTCCTAGTTCAGCCATTCATCTACATTGGCCAATATAAACAATACATCCTCTTTGAAGGGAAAAATTTTTTATGCAAAAATTGTGGAAGGTTGGGTCACACGCAGAATCAACGCCCTTTATGTTCAAAAGGAAAGCAATGAAAAAACAACTACAAGCAATAGCCAACCAACGAAGGCAGTGGAAGAGACTGACGGGGAATGGAAGATAGTGTCGTTCAACAAAGGAAAGAAGCAAAACACAAAAAATATGTCAAAAAGCTTCAACAAACCAGTGGAGAATTACAATGGCCCAGGTATCAATATCAAATTATTCAGTGCCAGTACAGGTAAGTATCTAGATACTCAAATCTTGCAATATAAATCAAAAGATCAGGTACAAAAATAAAAAAACTCCACCGATGAGGCCACAAAAAATCCAGCCATGGGAAATACCACTATTAAAACCAAAAACAACTTCTCTCTCCTGGAAAAGGAGCACATGGTTTTGTGTGAAAATAATAAAAATCCAAAACAAATTAAAATGGACTACCCTATTAGAGATGAACAAATGGACTCTTGCATGCATACTACTAACACACTTGAACAAAACGTGTCAGTAGAAACTCCTAACATCTGCAACACCATGCAAAAGAACACCTCTAATAATAGTTTTAGTCTACTAATTAATAATAATCCTACTAATACTAATAACCAATCGAACAACTCCCTAGTCACTAATACTACTGCAAATCAAATTGTAAAAGATAAAACACCCCCCTTGAAATTAGAGGAAGGATCCC